AGGTCCCTTAGGGTTGGTTCATTGTAACCCTTTAAAATGCTGTAGCTTCAGTTATCTATAGATACAAGACATGAGTAAACATGAAAGGGTTCTGTGGTAGGACCATTTAGTTGTTAGCATGGAAAAGGGGTCCTATATCTGGCTCTAAGAGAAAAGAGGGTAGAACAGTAAAAAGTAAATCACTTAGTAAATGATCACTTAGGAAGGAAAGACCTGTGGTAAAAACAAGTTGCATTTTTATTTAGCAAGACGATGCTAAAGAAATTGAAGTCAAACTCAGTATATATTTGATGGCTTCTCGGTAGTTTTTTAACTTACCATTAGAGTAAGTTGCTAGTACTGGTAACAATCTCAATTTAGATTTAACGTTTGCAGTTTTTCCGAGTAGGAAAAAGGATAATGTGCTACATGATTTCTTTAAACACGTAGGTGTTGTTCAAGGAATGATAACAGGAATCCGAGGATTGTGCAATGGTCTGGGACCAGCCCTTTATGGGTTCATTTTCTACATATTCCATGTGGAACTTAAAGAACTGCCAATCACAGGTTCAGACCTGGGGACAAACACAAGCCCTCAGCACCACTTTGAACAGGTAATTCTTAATTTGCATGTTAAAATGTTCTATTTCTTTGGCTGGACTAAAGGATGGGTTTGAAAACAAAAGCTTAAATGTAAAACTTCTGGTTATTTTGAGACAGAGCCTCACTGTAGTCCCAGCCAGGCTGAACTCATTGTGTGGCCCTTGTTGATCCTTCTGCCTCAGCCTTCTGAATACCAAGAGTACGAATGAGCCATGGTGCCCATCTGAAGTTCTTAATTTACTTTTAGTTGAACTGAAACCCCAAATAGATTCAGATTATAGCCCTGCTATAGAGTGCTTGCCTAGCATGTACAGGCCCTAGATTCAGCCCCACATTGTTAAAATAATCTTTAAAGTTTAAGAGACTAGTCTTCTGAGTACCTCCTTGCAAAATTGTCTGTGGTCACTTTTTCCTCTAAGAATGAAAAATCATTTCTTAAAAGCTTGCTTTGTCAGTTTGTATGTAGTGACATGTTATCCATTTCTCATTCCACACTGCTGCCTTTCTTCTGACTTCCTTAGTGTCACAGTTGTCACCCATCTCTCTAGGCAGAGTCGGTTATGCAGACGTTTGTTGATGTGCTTGCTTTATTTCCCTTATAACTGAAATTCCCAACGCCAAACCACATGAACCATTGAACCAATACAAACAGCTCTTCGGTTTCCTTGATTTAGCAAGAGTTTCCTCCAGCCAAGCTTATTTCCAAATTAAAAGGAAAAAAAAAAAAAAAAGAAGTTGTGGGTCACATACAACAAAAACTGACAGTTCAGGGCTTTGTGTCAGGATGAATGTTATTTGGGGTTCAAATAAAAACCTGTTTACCTGTTTTAATTTTTATGGTTGGCAATATTGTGTTTCTGAAACAAATTGAAAAAAGGTATTGATTCTATGGTGTTATATGTATAGCTTTGCTTACTCTGAGGTACTTGTCTTCCTCTGGGAATAGCAGATTGAGTGGAGGTGCACAAGAGGTGCACAAAACACTGGTTTTCAGGTTCTGTGCTAAAAGCAGTACAGTTGGTCAAGTTACTTTGTCAGGTTTTGTGTGCAGGACTTTACAGTAAGAATTTATAACTGTTGATTTAATAAGACACTGGTTTAGAAAAAAATCTGAGCACCAGGTGGTAGTCACACAAGAGGATCTATGTGAGTTGCAGGCCACCAGGACAGCCAGAGCTGTTACACAGAGAAGCCTTGTCTTAAAAAAAAAACAAACTGAGGAAACAGTTGCTAAACAATTCTTGGGGAGGGAGAGGAAGTACCTGTGCAAAAACCCTAACTATTGTTTCTTCCTCAGAATTCCATCATCCCTGGTCCCCCCTTCCTCTTTGGAGCCTGTTCAGTACTGCTGGCTCTGCTCGTTGCCTTGTTTATTCCGGAACATACTAATTTAAGTTTAAGGTCCAGCAGTTGGAGAAAGCACTGTGGTGGTCACAGCCATCCTCACAGTACACAAGCGCCAGGAGAGGCCAAAGAACCTTTACTCCAGGACACAAATGTGTGATGATCGAAATCAGGAAGACTTTTCTATCAGCACCCAGGTCTTAGTTTTCACCTATAGTTCTGGATGTACATTCCATTTCCATCTACAATGTACTTTTAAGATTGTCTTAAGAAATATCTGCATGAACTCCGTGGGAACTAAAGAAAGAACTGGACAGTTTTCCAAAGATGTTACAATTTCTTTCTAAAAGAAACCTTTTGTTTATTAGCACCAATCTCTTGCCACTAAACTGTTTTATTATACATCTTTAATTAAAGGCTATATATGTAACTCTGCTGTTAGCACGTGTCTGCTACCATTTCCTTAAGGTGTTGAGCTTTTACCTCTGTGCTGACTCAGTGACACAGTGGGTAATATGGTTGTGGACCTGTTCACTTTAACATTGTAAAAGCCTGAGTCAGATTTTAATATTGTAAAATCTTGGGTCAAATAATTCAAAGCCTTAACGCAGATGCACTAGGATAAAGAAATGGTAAAGAATTGTTTGAATTTAAAGCAACAAAAACTTGTGAAAATTGTAGAAAACCAGAATCATGTTCCAAGCCTGTTTGCCATAATTTTATTTAAAACATTATTCACTACTGTTTTGAAGTATGGAAATATCAGCCACTTAGAATTTAAATTGGGGTGGTCAGAGCCTAAAGATCCATGTTCTGCTTCTTATACCACTATTCTTTTGATGTTTCCATAATCATAAGGACCTCAACACTTGAATACATAATCTAAAAATTATATAGTAAAGCTGGTAGCCTTGAAAATGTCAATGTGATATCTCTATGTAGATAAATATATATAGTGGCCTTTCAGGACTGTCACAGTAACACTTTATTTACAGAGCTAATGTTTGTCCTAAATTTTCAGGACCCTAGAAGAGAGCTTTATACAATTACTGATGTGAATTTCTCTAAAGTGTATATTTTTGTGTCCAGTTATATTATTTAAAAAAGTGTTACTTTGTAAAAATTGTACATAAAGTATTGTATAGTTTACACTGTTTTCATCTTGTGTGTGGTTACTGCCTAATGCTTTTTAAACTTGGAGCATTCACTATGATTAAATAAGGTCTCAAAATGTAAATATTCTGTTAATAAAATTAAATATTTTAATGATTTTTTTCTTTTTAAAAAAGTCTTGATCTGTGAGTCCCTATAAGGCCTGTTTGGGCTTTATTTGGTACCATAACAATTTTTACAGAAACAAGTCTTGGCCTTAGATTACCTCCTCTGCAATCCATTTGTTTACCCTCACCTCACCCCCAAAAAAAAGTGCCATTTGCAAACCAACTAGAAACACTTGATTTCCTAAGCACAGACGATGCAAGGCAGTCTTTTATTTTCTAAACATGCTTCTGGAATATAAAACTCTTTAGTTTGTACTTTACTAAGAGAGGTCACAGTTTTAAAAATAGCATTAACAGCAACATTTATTAACACATGTACAGTTATACACCACAAGACAATTTCAAACAAAAGTGGAAGAGGTAGACCAAGAAATTGGTGCAGCCTGTGTACACTGACAGTTAGCACAGAGACACTTGTATAGCCGCTGTGAAAAATGTACTATCCTATCTTAGAAATGTGTGTTTATAAATAGTAAGGGTGGGGGTATCTTTTCTAAAAAGCTATATATGTTATATATCCCTTCCAAAGCCTGCCACAGCCCCATATGTATATTACACAGTATTTACAACAGTCCCACATTGCCAAGAGACTTCTTTCCAGAATTAAGTGCTCTGTAACAATATTCTTAACCATCACTGGACTTGTAATTACACCCCTTGTCAAAGCAAGCTGGCAGCTACCAGCATCTTAAAAATGAGATTAAAGATCCCTGTCTTCTGTGGCCCTAGTAAAGTTGACACATCACTACCTTGAAGTTGTAGGAATGTTTTGCCTGATGATTAATATACCATGTGCATGCCTAATACACTCAGAGACCAGAGGAGAGCAACAGATGATAACAGTTGTGAGCTGCCAGGTGGGTGCTGGGAATAGAACCCAGGTCTTCTGGAAGAACAGCTATCAACTACTGAACTATTTCTTTTTAAAATTATCACATAATTGTTAGCATTTTACAAGATTTGGGGTCTTATGAGGATTTTAATTTCCTTTGGGTAGTTGTCAACAGAAAACAAAATGGGACCCTTAAGTTTAGGAAATTTTGTGTTTTGTATGTCTGTTCATACATGGGTATTTATTTGCATACGAGTGCGGTGTATACTGAGGACAGTGGATTATCAGGCTATTTTAACATCTATCCAGCCTCAATGGTGAAGTTTTTGGGTTGTTTTTGTTTTTGTTTTTTTGGAAACTAATTTCCAAGTAATAGAAAGGAAGTTGTAAATTCCAATCGTTAATTTTTCTTCTTAACACTGAATGTAATTTTTAATTCTATAAAAATACCATGAATACTCATGATGCCATTACACTGAAGGTTTTTTTGTGCTCTAAGCTCAGCCCAGATGACTAAAGCACTTTAGCCACGTAAACACAATGTCCAAATTATCTTTATATAAAAATTATTTCATAGATCAAATGTTTCAGGGAAAATAATTTACTCACTATGAATAAATACTTAATTCATATCAGCAATTTAAAGTGCTTAAGAGCGTCACTGGGTAGATCAACCAAACTCCAGGGTGGAGTCCATAGCCAGGTTTTGGTTTGGTATTTTTTGATTTACTGGTTTTTCGTTTTTTTTTTTTCTTTTTGCGGGAGAAAGAATTTGAAATTAGGTAGGTAGAGATGTGTAGACCATCTGGGAGGAGACAGGAAGGGAAAGAATTAAGTCCAAATATATTGTATAAGTCAGGCATGGTGGTGGTACACACCTTTAGTCCCAGCACTGGGAGACAGAGGCAGGCGGATCTCCTGAATTCAAGGCCAGCCTGGTCTACAGAGTGAGTTCCAGGACAGCGAGGGATACATTAAAAAAAAACAAAAAACAAAAAAACCCTGTCTTAAAAAACAAAAATAAACAAAATCCCCGTCTCAAAAAACCAGTATATATAAAAAAAGAAAAACAAAAAACCAAGCAAAAGACTTCAGTGTAAAGATCAATAATCATAGGCGGAAGCTATTTCTCCCAATTCTCAGGTGGCAAAATGAGAATTGTTTTACTAATAAGTGTGATAATATGATCACAAGCATTTTTCAGCATGTTACTATTCCCTTACAGGGTGGATTTTTCATTAGGGTGTTTCTCATTTATACCAACTGGTTAAGAATCTGATAAAATTCAGTGATATTTTTTGAAACATTCTGTTTGCAGAATAAAAAATACCATTTACTCAGAATCTGACAATCTTCTATGTTTGTAAATGGCAGTACTATTACAAAGGATCCAAATGACCTAACAGGAATGAGGAAAATTGGTTTTGTTATTAGTGGATTGTTAAGCCGATTGAATCTCTAAACTGTCAGTAATAAATGAAAGGTGCTGCATTAACTATTTGGTAACTGCCCAGGGAAATATGCTGAAGATGAAGAGGGGAGAATTGTGGGTTTGGAAGATGTCTGTAGTGCTCCCAGCATGCCATCTTTCTGATGGTCTGCAAAAGAGGACAAAACACACAACCTGTTACTACTTCAGTCTTAGACACATCTAATGATTAAACTACACCATCCCAGTACAGGCGTCTCCTCACCTGAGGTACTAAATAGATTCTGGCTGAGCCCACGTAAAGGAATGCTATCTTCTCTTTTCTTCAAGTATTTGGATTCCAGGCCTAAATTTTCACTACTGAAAAAAAAAAAAAGTTATCTTTAAATCTTAAATTTCATTTTATTGTTCATTTTCTATGAATGTGTATGGAATGTCCCTAGTGGACAAATTCAAAATGCTCTAAAATACCATAGTACAAAAATTTTTTGGCCACCCACATGATGCCACAAGTTGTCAACAATGTTGACCCCATTTGATGGATGGCTCCAGTGAAACAGATACACCAAAAACAAGAAAAGCCCAAGTACATAATATACCTGCAGGCTGTGTATAGGAGAAACCTTAGTCTTTCCTTTTAGGCTTAGGTCCCATCCTAAGATAATTTATGCAAATATTCCAAAATTCTAAAGCTTCAAAAGTCTGAAGTATCACTGGTCTCAAATGTTTTGAATAAAGGACACTTAACCTGTGTACTCTTTACTTTGTTTAAATAAATAAAAAATGTGTATAATACATTCCTTCTAAAAAAGGATTAAGCTTTATGCTAAGAAGTGGGATAAGGACCATACGAGAAATGAAAATTCTGTAAGTACCATAGATTACCATGGCAAACACACAGAGGAGGGAGATGAGAAAATACAAGAGAAACCAGCAATCTAAAAAATCCTGTGCATGTATGTTTATTTTTATGTGTATGGGTGTTTTGCCTGCATTTTTATGTCTCTGCACGTGTCCAATGCCTTTGGAGGCCAGAAAAAGGCTTCAGATCTCCCTTGAAGTTAGTTACAAAGGGTTGTGGGCAGCCAGGTGTCTGTGGGAATGAAACCCAAGTCCTCTGGAAGAACACCACTGAACCATGGCTGTTACCATCTCTTTCTGAGACAAGGTCTTGGCTTTTGCACTCACAGAGATCTGCCCATCTCTGCCACTTGAATAGCGGAATTAAAGGCATTTGCCACTATGCCTAGCTTTAAAAGGGATTTCTATGTACATATCCACATATTTACAAGAACAATCTTATAAGAAAACCTTTTACATACATCTAAGGGTATCCTATAATTTAAAACCATACACAAGAGAAATGGCTTTTTCATAGCAAAGAGTAATTCACTGAGTACTTACTTTTCCTTATCAGATGAACAAGGCCTGCTAATAGCTGTTCCTGGCTGTGCATCTAGCAATGTGCTTGGTTTTGTAAGCTGCAAGTTAAACTGAACCTGTGGAGAGAACATAGTTCATGAACTCAGAACTGACGCATTTCCATGCTGAGCTAAGTGGTTAGGTTTTACTTCTTGATAAATTCAGATAATAAAAATAAAGGTTCTGCCTATATTTTACAGCGCAAACACATTCTTTTGATCTGTGAAAAGAACCTGACTTACCCTCACACAAAAGCTCACATGACACAAGTGAGATGAGGAATACAAGTGATTCTCCCAACGGGTTCTTTAACGTCAACACTAGTGCATTCCGGTCAATTACAGAACTGAAACTACCCAAGGTTTGATTGGCCTGGCTCCCATGTGCTGGAAGGATCAAGAGTTTGAAGACAGCTTGGGCTACATAGCAAGGCTCTCTCAAAACAACAACAAAACAATTTATCACAACAATAGTTGTACATTGTGTATTCTGAAAAACCAAGCCTTTTAAAGGGCTTTCAAAGACTGCTACACTTTGAATGCTAAGTTAAGGTATTTGATTTTAAATTTTAAAATAACCAAAAATAATACAAAAAAAAAACCCAAGCAATACCAAGGAATAAAAATTAAGTACAAAACTACAATGAAACTTGAAAGCACTGAAGAAAGAAAACATGAAAGTATTAAACAATATAGTTAAGATATTCATTCTACTCAAATTCATTGACAAACTCAACAAATTTCCCATCAAAATCCCAAAGACGTTCTCTTCCAAGAAACAGAAAATAAAAACCCTAAAATGTATACAGAAGCACAAAAGACCCAGAAGAGGGTGAAATCTGAGCCAAGAGCAGAGCTGGAGACATCAGTCCACTTGATCCCAAGGCACATGACAGAGCCACAGTAACCAAAACAGCATCATACTGGCACAAGAGAAGACACACACACTGATGAAACACAAGGCAGAACCCAGAGACTAACCCATGGAGCTATAGTCAACTCATTCTTGCAAAGGTGCCAAAGACATACATTAGAGAAAGGATAGCCTTGTCAGGAAAGGGTGCTGGGCAATGTGGATATCTAACTTGCCAAAGACTGAACTTCCCCTCTTGCCTTATATAAAAACCACTCAAAATGCATGAAAAGTCCTTAATGCAAGACCAGCAACTCTGGAACTACTAAAGGGAAAACACTTTAAGACAGTGGACAGGCAATAATTTCTGGACAGAACCACAAGAGCATGGAATGGGAAAGAAAAGCAAAACTTGACAAATGGAACTACAAAAATTTTCTCCAGGCAAAAGAAACAAACAGAATGGGAGAGAATACCTGCTATCACATATCCAGTAGAACTCATGCCCAGAATTAACAAACCAAAAAAATTCAACAAAACAAGGAATCTAATTTAAAATATACAAGCGATTAAATAGATACTTTTCCAAAGAAATAAAAATAGCCAATATGGAAAAACTGCTTAATGATTTAAGCATCAGAGTTACAATGAAGTAACTTCTTGCCTCAGACAGAACGGCAATTATCAAAATAAAAACAAATTAGCCTGGTGAGGATTTGGAAAAAAGGAATTCATACCCTGCTAGCGAAGATGTAAATGAACAAAGTTACTGTAAAGATCAACGCAGATGCTCTTCAAAACACTACACATGGATTTACTATGAATTTATTTCACTCTTGGGTCTACACCCAAAGGATTAAAACCAGAATACAAAAGAGATAAATGGATACCCATGTTCACCGCATCACAACAGCTAACAGAGAATCAGCCTAGGTGCCCATTAAAATATAGGAAGAAAATATGGTGTGTGTAATACTACAGACACATATACCAACACACACTAACACCAACAGTCTTCAAAATCAAGAGAGAAGAGAAGATGCAAATACAGTAAACAAATAGGAACAGGATAAACCTTGAGATCATACACAATGACACTAAAACTGTCTAAAACAGTGGTAGCGTGTGGGCACAGCACATGTAAGAAACAAGCTGTGATTCTTAGCACCAAATACACACTACAATACATGCACAATCTGACTCCAACCAGTGAAGCAAAGGGGTTCTGCTCACAGGTCACAGAATGGTCAATGGCTGTTGCATGTTTGGTACAGATACAAATGGCACAGTAATCCTATATAAACAGCTGACACAGAAAACAGCCTATAGAAACAATCAGACCTTGAAACTTCAATTGAGTTAAGAATCTTTTTTTTTTAATGATTCCCTTTATTTTTGTGTGTATTGGCATTTTGATTGCATGTACATCTATGTGAGAATGTCAGATCCCCTGGCACTGGACTCATACGACAATTGTGAATCACTATGTGGGTGCTGGAAACTGAACCAGAAGTAGCCAATGCTCTTAACCTCTAAGTCATCTCTCCAGCCCAAGTAAGAATCTTTTTTAAGTCTTCACAGAGCTGAAGAGATGGCTCAGCGGTTAAGAGCACTGGCTGCTCTTCCAGAGGTCCTGAGTTCAATTCCCAGCAACCACATGGTGGCTCACAACCATCTGTAATGAGATCTGGTACCCTTTTCTGGCCTGCAGAACACTTTTACAGGATAAATAAATAAATCTTAAAAATAAATGAAATAAAATTAAAAAAAGTCTCTTCACTGGACGTTGGGAGCCCATTCCATGTGGAAAGGGTATGGGGTGGGGAACTGGTGGGGGTGGGGGAGGAGGGAAGGGAGAAGGAGCTGGGATTGACACGTGAAGTAGCCTTGTTTCTAATTTAAATAAAAATTTTTTAAAAAGTCTCTTCACCATTTGAACAAACTATCCAGAATATAATCCTCTACTTAACAAAGGACCGGGAAAATCTAAGTAACATGCTCTCTTGAAAAGAGAACCTCAAAGACACAAACATTGGATTGCAGGAACATGCTTTAATAGCCCCACTGTAACCATGCTTTAAGCAGGACACTCATGTAACAAATGCGAAATAAATAAATAAATAAATAAATGGGAAAACAAAAAACAAAAAACAGAGGGGCTGGGAGGTGGTGGCACACACCTTTAATCCCCACACTCAGGAGGCAGAGGCAGGCAGATCAGGACAGGCTCAAAAGATACACAGAAAAACCCTGTTTCAGAGGGGGAAAAAAGTAGGGCTTGAGGGTATATAACTTGGTGATAGACCACCTGCCTGGTGAATAAAAAAAGAAACAAGAAAAGGAAAGGGCAGGGAATGACTGCTCCAGGTATGGTGGAGGAGAAAGTTTATTGTAGATATTCGGGAGAGCATAGCCAGAGGCAGGGACATTTGGGAGAGTCCAGAGCGGATGTGACCAGACTGAGCTAGGCCATGTGGGGAGAAGGGGAGGAGAAGGGAGAGAGGAGATAGAATGGAGGAGAGAGGGGAACCAAGTGCAGCAGCCAGGAGGCCAAAGGTCCAAAAGGGAAGGGGCAGGTAACCAAAATGTCTGGATTATATAGGGTGACCCTCTGGGGGAAGGGCAGCTCAGTCCCTGGGCTGGAGAGTTCAGGGTAGAGGGCTGGACATGCCAGCCATACTCTGTAACAGGCAGGGACTGAGGGACGCTGGGAGAACCTGGTGGCCAGGTCCAGCTTTGAGATGTTAAATAGGCACCAGAGCTGTTTGTCCAGGGTTTGAAACTTAACACCTGGCAAGCACAAAGCTCTAGATTCTGTCCTTGGCCATAACAGAAGGGGAAGAAAAAAAAAAAAAAAACAAAACAATGGATAATTTTGTTTAGAGTCAAAAGACACCCAAAAAAAAAAAAAAAAAGAATTTAAAAAAAGAAAAAAAAAAAAAAAAAAAAAAAAAAAAAAACCAATGGATAGTTTAGTCTAGAGTCAAATGGAGCCAACAAAGAAAATAAGAAATCTTAGCAGGGCATGGTGGTAAATGTAGATCTAATGTTAGCATTTGGGAAGCTGAGGTTAGGAGGGTAGATTTAAGGCTAGTGTGAGTATAGAGCGAGACCCTAGCTATAAACATCAAGAACTAAGGCTGAGAATGTAGCTCAATGGCAAAGTGCTTGCCTAGCAGGCAAACTAGCCATACACATAAAACAAAATGACTTTTTTCTGTTAAATTTTAAAGTTCCATGACTCAAAAGGCCATCAACAATATAGGTGGCACATACCTGCAATCCCAGCCCTCAGGAGGACTAAGGACGTTATGAGAAACATGAGTTCAAGGATAGCCTGGGCTACATAGATCTTAAATATGAGACTGCTGGTAATATACTGTGAGTGCTTTTGGGAAAGTCTGCCAGATGTTTTTGTTGATTTGTTTGTTTTTTTAAATACAAGCCCTCTGTAGCCCTGACTGTCTAGAACTTGCTATGTAGACCAGGCTGGCTTCAAACTCACAGAGCTCTGACTGCCACTGCCTGCTGAGTGCAGGGAATAAAGATATGTACCACAATGCCGGCCCAAGCTGGCTTTGAGCTTTCTGCTTCAGCCTCTGGGTTACAGGCATTTGATGCCATGCCCATCCAGATCCTATTTTCTTTTTTAGTTTTTCAAGACAGTGTTTCTCTGTATAGCCCTAGCCAGGTGGTGGTGGCGGGGGCACATGCCTTTAATCGCAGCACTCAGGAGGTAGAGGCAGGAAGATCTCTGTAAGTACGAGGACCACCTGGTCTACAGAATGAGTTCCAGGACAGGCTCCAAAAAGGGGGCTGGAGAGACAACTCAGCGGTTAAGAGCACTGGCTGCTCTTCAAGAGAACCTGGGGTTCAAGTCCCAGCACCCACACAGCACCTCAGAACCGTCTATAACTCCAGCTCCAGGTGATTGGACACCTTCACATGAATGCACAGAAAATAAAGTTAAATAAATTTACAAAAAGAAACTGGATAGAAAAAATCATTGCTAATAAATCAAGGGTGAGAGGATTGCTATTTATATACCACTTGCAACAATGTCACCAAAACTATATTTTAGAATTTGCTGGCTATAAGCCCTATAGACATATAAATTCTGATAATAGGAAAATTGAATATACTAGTAGTATAAATTTATCACTCTTTCTTCAGCTTGTTGACTTGGTAAAACAATGAATATAAATGGAGTGGTGAATAGAAGTAAGATTCCATAAACTGATATCTAGTGTACCAGGCTTTTTCTTTTTTGGCTAACCAGCTCCCAAATCAGGACACGGAGCCTTGTTAGTTTTGAATGCTCAGCCTTAGCTTATGCTTGTTTCTGGCTAGCTTTTTTCCTTTAGTTAAAATTAACCTGTTTTAGAATGGAGATACCATAATAGAGGGAGACATTTTAGGTTTACAGAGAAATCAGGCACTAGGGAAATGTCTGGAGATCTACAAAGATGACACCAGCTAACAATCTAAGCAACAGAGGAGAGGCTACCTTAAATGCCCTCCCTGGATAATGAGATTGATGACTGCCTTATATGCCACCCGATAGCCCCCAACCAGCAGATGGTGGAAGCAGAAGCAGACACCAACAACTAATCACTAAACTGAACTGGAATCCAGATGCAGAGAAGGAATAGTGAAGAGCAAAGGGGTCCAGACCAGGCTGGTGAAACCCACAGAAACAGCTGACCTGAACATCGGGAAACTCTTGCTCCCCAGAATGATAGCTGGAATACCAGCATGGGACTGATCCAGACCCCAGGAACATGGATTTCACTGAGGCAATCTCAGAAATCTACAGGACCTCCTGTAGTAGTTCAGTACTTATCCCTAGCATAGGTGTGGACTGTGAGACCCCAATCCACATAGAGGGATACTCCCTGAGCCAAGACACACCGAGGTGAGCCTAGGCCCTATCCCAAAGGATACGATAGACTCTGATGACACCCTATGGAAGGCCTCACCATCCAGGGGGAGCAGAAAGGATAGGTAGAGTTTTAATGGTGGTAGGGGAGAACAGGAGGGAGAAGGGAACTGGGATTGTCATGTAAAACAATCTTATTTCTAATTCAAATTTTTAAAAAATCTGCCAAAAAAAAAAATTTAACCTTTTTTTTTTTTTTTTTTTTTTTTTAAATTTTTTTGCCTCAGGGCTTTTTACCTTTTCTTTCTGTATGTTCTACTCTGTCTAGCTGGCTGGTGGCTGCCTGGCTGGCCCTAGGCGTTACTCTCCCTTTCTCTCCTCCTAGATTTCTCCTCCTACTTATTCTCTCTGCTTGCCAGCCCCACCTATCCCTCTCCTGCCTAACTAATGGCCGTTTAGCTTTTTTATTAGCCCAATCAGGTATCTTAGGCCGGCAAGGTGAAACAAATGCAACCCATCTTTACAGCCTTAAAAAATGCAGCACAAACAAGTGTAACACACCTTTACATAGTTAAACTAATATTCTGCAGCACAAACAAATGCCTAGTTAAAGAAATAGTCCACGGGCTAGAGAGATGGCTCAGTGGTTAAGAGCACTGACTGCTCTTCCAGAGGACCCAGGTTCAATTCCCAGCACCCACATGGTAGCTCACAACTGTCTGTAACTCCCGTTCCAGGGGGACCTGACACCCTTACACAAACATATGTGCAGACAAACCACCAATGGAAATGAACTAAAATAAACAATTTTTTTTAAAAAAAAAGAAATATTCTACAACAATCTAGGCTTTACAAACTGCAGTGATTGCACAAACACTTTGTGCTTCTATTTCCTTTAAGCACATACTAGATGTTCAGTATTCATCTAACACATTGGCTAGCAGGCAGCAGCTGACCAAACAAACGCCCTTTTAAAAAAGCACAAAATACTTATACGCCAATAAGTTTCTGTAATTTCTCAAAACAGTTTGTTTGGCTACCTTTGGTGCGGAGATTGGATGGCTGGTGTTTTTGGCAGATACGACATGGGGAAAAGCATTCTGAAATGCAAACGCAGAGGAGGCAGGATACCCAATTCCACAGCTTGGGTAATTTAGTCTATTATCAACCTAAAAACCAAAATAAAAAATGATTGGAGATGAGAAATATTTCTAAATAATAATCTGAAGTATTTGCTGCCCTAGAAGGCAAAGTGTCTGCTAGTAATTATTACTAGTTAGTAACAATATCTCATTTCTCTAGCAATATCTATTTTCTCTAGAAGACACCACAAAGTGTAGCTTTTTAATAATCAGAGACTGGAGCTTCTTTGGTCCACCTAGAGGGCCTTCTAGACTAGTTATGGCAAGTATGGGCCAAAGCAACTATCAGATTTGCCTTTGAGTGGGATTAAAACAAAGACTGCTGAAGCACCTTCTTTATAAAACGACTGCCGAGGCACCTTCTTTATCCAGTCCTACTGAGAGAGAAGGTATAAGAATGAGGAGTCATCCACAGTCCATTCAGAGATAAAATAATTTTGTCAGACTGAATAAAGACAAGTTGAAAAAGGTGCTCTGTCCTAATTTTAATACCATGGCACCATCATTAACAAATGTTATGAGAAGAAAGTTGCTTAAAAGAAGCCATTTGAAATGTCTCTAACACCAGTGTCTGGTCTATAAACGCCTTCACACAGTTATTTAACAGCACAGCTGTTTCTAAGTTTATAACTCAGCCCTAGCCATTTCTTTTCGTACCCCTTTCCAACTGAGCAGCAATCTTTTCCAAGCTTTCCACAATGTAGTAGTTTATCAGAGTAGATTAAAAATTCAATTAGACACCTAAATTTAACAATCAGTGGCAATCCCTCCTAGCCAGCAACATCCCTCTGGTGCCCAGCTGGGATTACTGCTCCATGATGGGGCCTGCAAACTATGAGGGACCACAGGAGTCTCAGCAAGTGGTAAAGGGACTTACTGAATTTAGCAATGTCAGGGAATTTGAGGGAAAGATTAAAGAAAGTGGGACTTTACCATGGATTGTTTACAAGCTGCTAGGGAGTAGACATAAAGTGGCTGAGTCTCTAATTATATCTTACTGATGATTAAGGTAGGGAAGTGTATTAAGTGGTTAGAGAAGCCACAACTACAAACATCAACCAGGACGGAAGGCTGTCTGGCCCTTTCTGTAGCCTAGCAGACTTGTGTTCAGATATGATTGAAGAGTGCTCTTGTTTTTGTGTCAATTCATCACGAGACCACATCTGATGATGGCATTCTGTGTAATTGTTATGTTCAAGAGGGAGTGTGGGTCTTTTAACTGTAATAAGCAAGTGCTATCCCTCCCAGTCTTGCCACCTCCTAATACCAGGCCACCACCTTGCTCTGAAGAGCTGCCTTTCTTCTCCCTTCCATCCTGTGAGGAAAAAGGTAGACATGTCTTTCAGGATGCTCAGACAGTAAGACCAACTAATCTATGTTAATAAAACTGCCTCCCCACTTTGCTTGCTGACCAAATCAGTGCAGGTTTTTCTCCACAGTAGTTCCAAGCTTGAGTTCAAACCTGAATTTTCTGTTTGAAGTTTTCTAAACAATCTTTCTCTGTGTGTGTTCATATATATATTTTTAAGTTTCAAAATAATGACTTCTTTAGAAAAAGGCTTATCAAGTGTGCCCTTCACACATATAAGTATACATACACAGCCAACATATTCACAAACACACAGAGGCATGAAAAGTGTCCTGGAAATACAGCCTCTTGGTTAAGATCATGTGTGTCGAACCCGCACCTCCTACTAAAAATAACTGTTGGACTCTAGTAACATCACTCACACCTCATCTTAATTCTTACCACATTCAGGCCAGGAGAAATCCCACTTCTGATGGTGTTGCTACTAGAATGTGCAGGTGGAGTGGTAGAGGTTCCCAATGTGTCTTGCTTTCTTACCAGCTGGTTTTCATTTAGTTCTTTGTTTAGCCAAGTGATTACTTAAGCAGGAGAATAAAAAGCAGAACAGAATATTATTTTAGTTTTTTTTTAATAATTTAACATAATTAAATGGATAATTAGTACTTTTCTCCCTTTGGGTTTTTTCCGAACAGGTTTCACTGTAGCCAGACAGGCCCACAGTTAATGCACTTCCTGTCTCAGTCTCTCAAAGGCTCAGATTGTAAGTAAGTTGATGTGCAAGACCACATCAACTATAAATAGTTATTGCAATACTCAGTTTCTACACCTGATTTACAGCAGCCACACAATAGAAGCTTGGATATAATGTTTGGAGTAAAGATGCTTCTTTTAGCAACTGCCACATGAGACTTAGTACTCTGTTGCTTTCCAGAGCATATACTTCTACAACTCAAAATATGCCAGTTTTTGCTTCTAAAACAGTATCTTTCAGATGCTTAAAGTTCATAATTCTATGTCTCATGCCTAGTTCTTAGAACTGAGAAAATAATCAATGAAAGTTTGCCAGGCATGGTATCACATACCTAAATTTAATCCCAGCATTCAGGAGGCAAGGAACAGGCAGAGCTACACAGCAAGACCATCTCCAAAACAAACAAAATAACAACAAAAAGAGCAAGCTTAAAGCAGAAATTATTTGTATATTGCACTATTTTCATTTACCTGCATTTTCACTAATTCAAATAAAAATTTCACATTAACAATAAAGCCATAAGCCTCATTTACATAAAAATGTAACATTACTTACATTTTTCATTATTTTTTAAAAGTTGTTTACTTTCTTCAAGTTTCTGAACGGTAGTTTCTAACTGCTCTTGTAATTTGCATACCTGAAATATGCCAATCATCTCAAGTCAATAAAAGTTGAAGACAAAAGAACTGTATTATACTATTAAATAACTGATTACCACTAAAACCACAAAATGAAGCTGGGCAGTGGTGTCGCACACCTTTAATCCCAGCACTCAGGAGGATCTCTGTGTGTTCAAGACCAGCCTGGTGTGCAGAGCAAGTTCCAGAACAGTCAGGACTATACAGAGAAACACTATCTCAAAAAAACAAAAAGCAACAACAAAAAAGCTCACTAAATAAAAACTTAACTATGTAATGAAATATTTAAATCTTTAAAAGGAGCACACCTACACAATTACCAATCCATTCTGTTCATTTTGGAGTACTGCTAACTAAATTTGCAAACTAAAATGGGTTATTAATGTCTACCTAATCTACTTGGTTTTTTATTTGAGGAAAAAAAGGCCAAAGCAACTGTCTTCATATAACCAAGCTGGTTTTAACATCTATGTGGGAAAGCTCACTAACTGTACACAAAGCAGTCACAACCCAGAAGCAGGAGACAGTAACCACCTCTTGCTCTTTGGCTCGAAGAGACTGCCCCGCATCCTGTGATTCCTTTCGCTCCTTTTGTAGCATTTCCTCTTTCTCAGCCAGCAGTTTTTCTTGCTGAATAGTAACTGTATTCTTCAGTTTCAATTTACCCATGAGAGTTTTAAGATCTCCTTGTAACTTCTTAATAATTTCATTTGCCTATAAAAAAAAACCTCATATGAATATTTGTACAAGCCAATGAAATATTAACATTCTGCTAAACATTTCAAATCGAACCTTCAGAAGTTCTGCTGATAACGATTTTATTGTAGCTTCAAGTTTTCCCAGTTGTACCTGATTTTTCTCACCATTTTCTTCTAAAGCCACCTAATATAAAAAAATAAAACACGAGTAAGACACTGTGTTTATTTAGGGGCAGCATCACTAGTAAATTCCATCAATTTATTTTTTAAATTTTTACAGAAGACCTTTTGTTCTTGGATTGTATCGAATGCTTCTTTTGTTCTCAGGACAAGCTGGTCTTTATCCTTGATTTCCTGTTCTAAAACTGCCACTTTTGTTTGTAGCTGGTTAATATGCTTTTCTTTCTCATGGCATTCAGCATCCAGAGTACAATTCTCTCTTCTCAGAGAAAGGACCTCTTGCTTGGCCCGCTGCAACTCCTGGGGGTGGGTGGGTGGGAAAAGGGATTATCATGTATTTGTATAAGGAAAAGTGAGTCACTTGGTTCTTTGAAACTAAGGTGTCTTGGGGTCAGAGAGATGATTCAATGGGTGAAAGCACTGGCTGCTCTTCCAGAGGATGCAGGTTCAATTCCCAGCACTCACAAGGCAGCTCACACTGTTTCTAATTGTTGAGTCTCAGGAAATCTGATGCCCTCTTCTGGCCTCCACAGATACCAAGTACATATGGTACAAAGGCGTACATACAGGCAAAACATCCATAACACATAAAAATAAACAAAAGGTTAAAAAACAAACAAAATATTCTTTACTTAAAAAAACCTTTCTACCTGGTGGTTGGTGGTAGAGAATGCCTTTAATCCCAGCACTCAAGAGGCAGAGGCAGGCAGATCTCTGTGAGTTCAAGGTCAGCCTGGTCTAGGAAGTGAGTTCAAAAAACAAACAAAAAAGAAACTTTCTCAGATGTCTTAAACACCAAAAACATCTCCAAAGACAGGTCAAGTGGTAACTGTCTTCACAGTATTCCCGCTGAGGAGTCAATATAACCTTGAGGCTAGCCTGGGCTACATAAAGCTTATCTTAAGCCAAACAGCAGTCTTTAGTAATTTTGAGGTTCTACTATGTTTTTTAAAAGCCATGAAAATCTCTCCAATGGTGTACTGTATAAGTTATAGATCTGAACACAACATTAAACTATACTTTGAATTCAATTATACAAAGGAAAAAACAAAACAATTGTGACTTACGAAAAATATCACAACTTCTTTTTATTTATTTTTTTATGTGTATGATTGTTTTGCCTGCATGTATATGTGTGCACCACATGTATGACTGGTGCTTGTGAAGGTCAGAAGATGATACCAGATTTGGAACTGTAGTTATGGATGGGTATAAGTCACCATATGGGTACCAGGAATCAAACCTGGGTCCTCTGCAATAGCAACATCTGAGCCATCTCTCTAGCCCAATACTGTGTAATTTTATTATTCACATCTTATAATATTCTAAAACTATTTTCCACATCAATAAATATTAACATTTTTGAATTTCTCTTTGGATTGTATTTAAAGCAAGAAAAAAAGAAAATAATAACTGTTAACTAAAAATAGATTTCAAAACAAAAATCTAGATTAAATCACTTCTCAATAAGATAATAGCAACCTAAATATAACTGACCTAAGTCCAATAAGTAATACCTACTGAATTGTTTTAACAAAAAATGTTTAGATAATTGTATAGTGCATACCAATGGTTTTTGGAGCAAAGTTTGATATCAGACTTCAAATTAGAATACACGTACAGGGCAAGTGTGGAAATACTTAACTTCTTTTAGTGTAATTTGTAAAGTTGTCTTGACATGTGTGCACTCATTTTTAAACACACATGCACACACAAATAAGTGAAATTTTAAACAATCTTTAATAATGCAGGTTCCTGGGAAGGAGCTGACATGAATCACCCTTCAAAAAAGCTGCATTGGGAAACAAGATATAGAGCAGCACAGAAGTCAGAAGGGAGCTAGGCTGGGACAAGACAGCTGCCAGGGACAGCAGGGTAGAGGCCTTGACAGGACACAGACTGATTCGGGAGGTTCTCCTGGATGCTGCAAACATGTGGTGCTTTTATTGGTTGATAAATAAAGCTGTTTTGGCCTATGACAGGGCAGAATATAGCTAGGCAGGAAATCCAAACAGAGATACAGAGAAAAAGAAGGTGGAGTCGCCATATAGCATTATAATGCAGCCATTAGCCTACCAAGGTAACATGCAATAAGTCAGAAATGTCGCACTACCTACCACCCGAAGGGCATAGGATGTAAATGTACACATCTATTGTCAATGCAGAATACTTCAAGGATCTACACATAAAATGAGTGAAGCTTTAGCTTCTAAACACTAGTGAAATAGAACTCTGGTGATCTCCAATGTTAGATAGACAATAAAAAATCAACCAAGCCAGGCATGGTGCCTCATGCCTTTAACCAGAGCACTAAGAGGCAGGTGGATCTGAGTTCAAAGCCAGCCTGGTCTACAGAATTCCAGGACAGCCAGGGCTAAACAGAGAAAAGAGGTCTCAAAAAAAAAAAAAAAAAAAGCAAACAAAAATCAGAATTAGTGGTGCTTGACTGTAGTCTAGCCACTAAGTCATTACTGGACTGAACTCAGGAGTCTGATGCCATCCTGGGGAACACAGAAAACCCTGTCTCAAAAAATAAAAAAATCTTGAAAGTACCTTCTACTAATGCTAAGAAGAAACTATCATTAGTGCCAAGGCATCCACAAATGTGCTGTGGCAAACACCAACACTATTTAAACTTCTCTGATGTGCAGGGTAAGAAGCTCATTGCACAGCACTGGCCAAGTATATAGGAGGTCCTGGATTAAATCCCAGCAATGCAAAACAGACAATCCTGGATGCTTGAAAGAAAGACAGGCAAATAACAAACGGGTTACAACCCTTTCTTCCTCTTGTGGGCTGTAGGATCTTAAGCAAATGACAACAAAACTCTGTGCTGTGGCCCAATTATCTCTACAATGGCACTGTCTCTGCCATTACCCTACACATGCTCAGCAAGCATTGGCTATTGTCTATGAGTGGAAGTCTCACTGGTCATTCAACTTCATACAGCTGCTAGCCTAAATCTGTCAACACTACACCTGTGAGACAGCCACTACACTAATTTTAAAAAATACACTGAAAGCATCTGGGAGATGCCCTTTTATTCAATATTTGCTCAAACTCCAAACTAAAATACCCAGTTTATAGTAAAAGAAACTGCTAGATTGTTTCTAATTTAAATTTAAAAATATCAAAAAAGGAAAAAAAAAAAGCCCACTCTTCCATTCTGCCCACCCAGGAACTAGGTGAGTGAGTCTCTGCCCTTACCCAATTCCCGCCCAAAACATCACTCACCCTGACCACTCCCCCTCCCCCCGCCTGTGCCTACTGCGCCTGCCGGCTTGGGGTAGACACGCCCAGGCAGGGAGGACTTCCCTGCTCCCTGAATCTGCTAGCACCCCACTCTTCCATCCCTTTCCGCCCACCGACCCGAGGTGAGTGAGCCTCTGCCCTTACCCAACCCCCACCCAAACCATCACTCACCCCGACTACCCTGGGCCTGCGCCTACCTGCTTGGTGTAGACACGCACAGACAAGGAAGAGCTCCCTGAATCTGGAAACACCCCACTCTTCCATCTCTTTCCGCCAACTGATCCACAATGAGTGAGGAGACTACCAGGAGAGGCAAGACCATCCAGAGTTGTGGACATTGAATTCCTGGCCCCCACAC